TCTTTGCCAAGCTGATAATTGAAAAATGGTATCTTGTGGTTTCGTCTGCGTTTGAAAAATGGTATTTCATTGTGGTTTGATTTGCATTTCCTTGACTATTCCTTTTGCATTGAATCATATATCTTTTGTTTATTTTTACAGAGGATTTTTTTTATTTGTAAAAGCTGTTTGCTCATTAAGAAAACTAATGCTTTGTTACATTTGTTGCGAGACTATTTACCCAGTTCGTTGTTCAATTTTTGAATCCAGGGTTACGGTATTTTTATGATTCTAAAACTTTAATTTTACAAGTAGAAATGTATTCATTTCTGATGGTTTCTGGTTTTGTATCTTGCTTAGTTAACATCCTCATCATTGCAATTATGTTTTTCTTTTTTAACTTTGAATGTTTAATTCTTTGATCCATCTGGAAATGTTTTGGACATAAGGATTGAGGTAGGTATTTAATTTGATATTTTAAAAACCTTAAGCCACTTATAAAACTTTATCACCCCCCACTCATGATTTATCATATATCAAAATCCTATGTATTTCAGTCTATTTCTTGACCTTATTCTGTTCTATTTTTCTGCCTGACAGAATTGAATTCTCTTGGTTCTTGTAGCTCTGTAATATATTTAAATATACTAAAAGCTCTTTCTCATTTTTTCCTTATTTTAATATTTTCCAGGTATTCTTTCATGCTTATTTTATCATAAAATCTTTAGAATTAGCATGGGTAGTCATTAAAAATTAAAATCTGATTGCTGTCATTGTGGAGATTATATTAAATTTATAGATCAATTAAGGAGAAATTAATGCCTTTTAAAACACCAAGGCATCTAACCACTTTCCAATAGAAATATAACCTTTAATTTGTTAAATTATCCACTGATCGTCTTCAAAATCATTTTGAAGTTTTCTTTACATGGATCTTGTACATTTACTAAATTTATTCCTATGTATTTTATGGTTCTAATTTATATCACAATGGAAATCTCCTTCAAATACATGTCTTATGTAATGTTTGTTTATATATAGAAAAGCATTGATTTTGGCATGATTTTAGATTATTACTTTTAATAGTTCTTATGTTTTTATATGCTTTCCTTGGATGTTCAAGATTCAGTCTTCTACAATTAAATGATAAATTTGACTCCTTTCTAACTTCTATAACTCTCATTGCTCTTGTATAACTGCACTGACACCTTTCTCCAGAAAGGAGGATAATTGTGATGTATTTCTGACACCTCTGGCCATTCAGAAATTTTAAACCTTTACGTAGGAAAATCTGTCCATCTTTTCTGTCAGAGCTTCTGGGTTTCATGTCTTGCTTTGGAGGATCTTTCCCATTCCCCAAATGCTAAAGACACATCCCGTATTTTCTTCTAATATTTTATAGTTTTCACTTTTATATTTAGTTCTTTAATCCATCTGGAATTTATTTCTATATATTGCGTGAGATAAAAATCTAACTTTATTTTTTCCAGATGGTTCACAAAATTCCCCAACATCATTTATAAAATTGGTCAGTCTTTCCTCGCTAGTTTGAAATGCCACTTTAGTCACATTCTAAATAGATCTGTTTTTTAAAATCAAAGCTTAAAAACGAAATGAAACGAATGACAGTAGAGAACAAAGACAAGAAATGCAGACAAAAAACAGACATCAAGATAACGTTGTACACAAACTCTTTAATGTATATAATAAAATACAAAGGTCATTCTGAGCAAAATAGTATTGATATAAATAATTCAGAGAAAATATTCTCACAAAATATTCTAGAAAGGATTTAGAGGATGGACACGCATAAAATATAAGGCTGCAGCAGTTGATTATTTGAACATTGTTTAAAGTTCCTCCCATCATATGGAATGTTATTTGAAGCCTCAGGGCTATAAACATCCTCCAGCTGCCTAGTTTTACCCCCAAATCAGAAATTTGCAAGAATGGATCAGAATGGCCAAAAGTAAAAAGAAATTAGAACAAAACAAAACAAAAAACCCAACAATCCCCCAAAACAAAACAAAACAACATAGCAATCTCTTCTTATAATTCAAGATTGTTTGTTTTTTTATGTATGTCTTTAAGGCTCTGCAATAAATTTCAGCATTTCACTTTCCGAGGGCCAAAGTAGAGTGAAGGTGGACAGACGCTCGACCTTCTGCAATTCTTTTTCTCTGTCAACAAGAGACTGGATTAAGAATCATTGAAATTAAGTGCCAAAGGGAATAGGGGTCCGTGTTGCAATCTGAAACTTGGGAGGAAACCTAAACCATGTGCACCTACAATGCATGCCTTTCCGGGGCTTTGGAAGCTTTCTATTAAATCACGAATTCACAATTAATATTACAGTAGTGAACCCAGTGCTTCTTGGCTGTGTCTTTCTGGTCTTACAGGGCCTGAAGTGCTGCGACATATTAGTGGAAGCACGACAAGCCCAACTGGTAAATTTGTGTAAGATTCTTCATTTTGGAAGGTTAGCTAGAATGTTATTGGACAATACAAATTTTTATTTTCCTATGTTAGCAGTTCCAGCTTAAATAAAAATTCACAGACTAATGAAAGATAAAGACAGTTTACGGATCTTGTAATGGGAAGTCATGTCCTTTGGGACTCATGTAGTCAGGGTCAGAAGAAAACCCATGCCATGGTTATAAGGTATGTTTCCATGCAGCATCATTAAAACATGTACTCTGTGTTTCCTCACAAGTAGAATAATATGTTTTGAGGAAGGACATTTGATTGAGCTGCCATCAAGCATTTAGGTAACAACAATAATGACATCACCACAAACGTGTTGTGGGTCTGTGAGCGTAGAGAGGTATGGCCTGCGACATGTCGTACATATGATCTGAACAGTTATCTGATTACACATACCATGGAAGCAGGTCCCGGGACATCAATATACATATGGTAACTGCTGTTCTAACCACTTTATAGCAAACGCTGGGCTGTTTTCAAACACTGCAGTGTTTAGCAATCCAGAATAAAAACAGACAATTAACTGAATACAAGTTTAACTCTTTTCATCTGGGGTCCTAGAGACACAACCTGGATTTAGGTTTTGTTTTTAAATAAACTAAATGACTATAGATTTTTTTTTTCCTGCTATAAAAATAGTCCTAAAGAGTAGAGGTACCAGCAGTTAGGTTAATGAATGATGCCCTTTGCAGATTTTCCTGGAAAACCTTGTCGAGCATGTGTCTATTTCTGCCACCATTCATTGCTGAGATGGTCCTCCGTGCTCTTTGCCTTCCTGGAACACTAAGTAAAGCCAGACTCTGGACTTCCCATTTCCCAGGCCTTTGGAGGAGTGCTAATTACAAAATACTTTACTGAAACACTAGGAACTCATTCACGAAGCCAAGCCAAGTCTCAGATTTGAAAATGTTTAAAAATACCCTTGCAACAGCCGTACTACTTTATAGTTTATCTATTTTTAGATGTTCAATGTTTGTTTTGCTGGGGAAAAAAAATTAAAACATGAAAAGTATGCCATGAGCAAATCTGCAATAATAAGCAGCACATACATGTTGTGGAGGAAAACATTAAACATAAAATAGTCAACAGAAAAACAGATTCTGTTGAGGCATTTTTATAAATAGTAGCACTTATTATTTTTTGCTTCCAATTGCTAAGCATTTTAAATAACATGCCCTTAAAAGTTGTCAAGTTCTTTACTTTATATAAATATAATTTCCTGATCTTAGCATTCATAAAATTATTATGAAAATTATAAATGTATTCCACTCATCTCATGTGTAATTTTACAATCATCATATTGTTGAAATTAGGAACACAAGGAAGAAACGGAAGAAATAGAAACATGCTATCAGATGCTGAAAAAGCCAGGGAGTAGAAAATATTAATTTCTCTGTATAAAAATAGCATTTGCCTATGAAACTTTGAATCAAATATTTTGAACAGATATCCTGTCACACAGATTTATAGATAAAATTGTCCCCATTGGTTGTCAAATGGTCACACCCAATTTAAGGTCTTACTCGGTCTTACCTTTCAATGTCCTTTTGAATTCCTCAGCATAATAACAAGGAGGAATTATGCTTTGAACCCTGAAAAAACAGCTTCAGTACTGCTTGTCTCAACTCAAATGTAATCACTGCTATACAGTCAGGTAAATTTTCACACTGTATCTTTAACAGCAAAAATCATTTTAAAATGTTCTGAATGACCTCCATCTGGAAAGTACAGAGGTATGTAAGGGGAAATTATGGCTGTTTCAACACTGGGGAGGTGAAGTCTTAATGCAGGAAAGAAAAGTAAATTTCCTGATTTCCACAATGCCATGGAGTGTTCTGCGCCCCGTCACCAGTCAAGGGCTGTTGGCTGCGTGTCGGGCTGATGCAAGCCTCCATCCCCGACACCTTCCCGGAGACCAAAGGCCGACTCAGTCTCCCATAGTGGCAGTTTGGAGGAGTTCCTTCTACTGCTGGCCAGCTCCAGAAACTAGGGTAACACTTAAAGCGCTTGAAACACCTTTACTCCCTGCTTTGTTGCTTCCTTGCATCAGCCCACATAATTTGACTTGGCAATATAGAAAATGGTAAAGAAAAATTCTGACGAATACCGCAAATCATGTTTCAGAGTGGAAATTGTGACTTTGTTAGCATTACCAGTATTTCCTGCCTCACAACCAAAATGGCTTGCTGTGAATTTTGCAGTGCCCAAGCCAAAAGCAGTAAAATTTCTGTAAGAGCATACGCACCATGACAGAATACCACATCAGCCCAGAAAAATGATTTTCCTGGGAAGGTCTGTGCAGCGATGGAGAGAGCTCTCAATGCTATGGAAGCTGGGCAGAGATCTTCACTGCTTCCAGCTCACAGTGAGGTAATTTTAAAAGCACTTTTCCCTTCATTTGTTCTGCATTCACTGAATGTACATTTTTTGATGTCAGAGACATGGCAGAAAAGATCAGATGAGATAGTCTGACAATGGAGCCAAAGTTCAAAGCTTCTCTATTTTCAGGTAACAGCCGTGACAGTTTGTCTGCACTAAATCTTTTGAGGGCATGTCACTGTAACCCTGTCCATAGCTCTTCAAACAGTTCAAGACAAACAAATCACTTCGTCGTTGAACAACTATAACATCTGATACAATCGCGCAGATGTTGTAGCGATAGCCACTAATCAAAGTTCTTTCCATTCAGTTGAAAAAAAGAAAATTCCTCAGCTTTGGTTTAAGATCACTTTTTATGTTGTTCTTTGGAAAATTATTATATGCCAAAGTTAAAAAAAGAGGGAGAGAGAGGAGATTCTGTCTGTAAGAAGGACCAGAAAGTCAAACGTTCTAGCTGCCGGCCGCAGTCAGTAAGGAGCTACGGGGTGGATTGAGAGTCCTCGGGGGTGACTGGCAAGGCCTGCAAGGGTACCCCCAAGTCCCCCTTAGAGCCGCTCCCCGGATCTCCTGTTGAGAGCCCACTGGCGATGCGTTCACACGGGCAGAGGTGCTTTGCTTTCAGGCTTCCCGGCTGACGTAGCAAGGAAGTACGTACATCCATCGCCAACACTACCAGGCGGTAGAGTTGTAACACCACCACAAGGAAATTCTTGGCAGCAAAGAACACCAGCATCTGGTTTATCACTTTGAAGTAAGTCATCAATATGAGACGCACGACGAGGAAGGGGCCGTCTTGTATGAAGATGCTGATTCCAATGTTCCACAGATCTGCGCTGTATTGGCAAAAGAAGAAGCTGGGGAACCCCCTCATTGCCACCGACAAGGGGCAGACGACATGCTGTACTGAGAACACAAGACAGACCAATTAGCGCCCCTCTGAAATGTGTAAGACAGTATGAAATGTGGACAACTCATCAACCATGGGTGTTGTGCTACTTAACAGTTGGGAGTGATTCTATAATTTAATTCTGGGGAGGGGGGAAATGAGACCACCCTTAACATTGAACACCACCCTTAGCCACCCCTTAACCACTTAACATCCCTGGTCATTTTATGTTTAAAATCAATATTCTGTTGTAATTTCAATAAAACACACCAAAGAAAGCCAGTCCTCGGGTTTCCCTCCATGTCACAAATTTTAGATCACCTTCTAGTCCCCATCCTGAGGAAAGCACAAGCAACTGGGCTAGAGAGAACGAAGAACCAGAGAAACCACCTTGGCTGTCCCTGGGTTCTGCGGTGTAGAGAGAGAGCACAGCAGGGCATTTTAGGCCTCAAGCCAGGTAGCCTGGCTGCCTCGTTTTTTTGTTTTGTTTTGTTTTTTGTTTTGCTTGTTTGTTTTTTTAGCAAGATGCTGGCCAAGTTACTTAACCTTCCTGGGCCCCGGTTTCTTTCTTTGAAAACCAAGGTAACAATGATGTCTGTGAGGAGAGGGGCCCCTATTCACTGGCTCTTTTTGTTTCCATTAGAGTAACACCCCTGGCTCCTCTCTGATTTCTCCCTTCTCTCTTTCCCTTGGGATAGTGAATGACTTAGCTGACTGCTGAGTTGGGAAGATGGAACAGAGTATAGATACGTGGCCCAGATCCTTCTGAATCCTCCTTTTGGGATCTACCTGTTTCCTGGTTGACTCACTCAGCCATATGTGTAAATTATGTTGTGGAAATGCAAGTGTTTATAATTCAAATTCAAACTTAATTCATGTTAAACATCTTTTTCTAATGGTGGGGGGATAAAAGCCCAAAATAAATGCCATTGTTATTTTATTTTGCCTAATGCCTTATGGTTTTGTTTCACAGTTTACAAGAAACACTGGATATAATTACTGATTTTCCAGTTGAACAAAAGGAGGCCCAATCAACAGATAAACCTTTTTGTTTTAATTTCTAAAATGCTAATTTAATTCAAGGTCAAGGGCATAAAATAATCCTTTATAATAATGAAGCTTTCCATTTGGAATTTTCAAACAAAGAATGCCTTCGTCTACTGGAGCCTGCAAATATTATGAAGTTGCTTTGATATGGGTGAACATAATGTACTATTTTTTTTGAAAATACAATAGTGATTTAGTCAGAAGTAACATTTGGTCTTTGTTTTTCAAACAGCTGCATAACATTAGCACCCCTGAAAGTTTACAAAATTTCTTTCCCAAATAAAAATTTTCTTAGCAAGGCTATAAACCACAAGATATAAGAGGGTGAGGATCAGCAGAGTGAATTACAAAAGAAAAACCAACATAAGTGGCCTCTCTTTTTTTAAAAAGAAAAGATTTATTTATTTATTTTGTGGGGGGGGAGGAAATGGTGAGACAGAATCTCAAGGAGACTCCACGCTGAAGGCAGAACCCTACACAGGGCTTGATCCCACAACCCTGAGATCATGACCTGAGCCGAAACCAAGAGTCAGATGCTTAGCTGACTGAGACACCCAGGTGCCTCAAGAGTGGCCTCTCTTAAGAAGTTAGGGTCAGGAAATAGTTCCAAGGGGACCTCCTAAGACTGTTCTTCAACATTTAAAGTGATGGTACCTAATACTCTGTCAGGAAACACCACCTGATCAAGAGGTATAGATTGGGCACATTTCGACAAAATTGTGTGTGTGTGTGTGTGTGTGTGTGTGTGTGTGTGTGTGATTGGCATACATTTGTTTGTAATTATTAACTAGTAATTAAATTTTGGGTATTTCTAAAAAACCACAGCCACTCTTTCCATCAATTCTGGTGACAATTTTGTTTCAGAGAGTGTTTGCTAAATTCTAAAATTACCTCTGAAAGCTCTGGGTCTATTAAAGTAAGCCAAAAGAAGATGCAGAAAAGATTAAATCCTGAGTCCATTGAGGAGGGTGCCATAAAAAAAAGAAGTCAGGCTTAAGGAAAATGTAATTATTAAATCCTAGAATTTCTTTGGAGTAAAGTGGCATACTGGAGAATTCTCAAGTCAGAATTCAGGTATCTTTCCTAGAAGTTAAGGAATGACTCCAGATCAATGTTGTTCAATTGAACTTCCTGTGATGGTAAAAACATTCTGCCTACTACAGTAGCCATATGTGGCAGTTGAGCACTTGAATTGTGGCTAGTGTGACTGAGGAACTGAACTTTTATTTCATTTAATTTCAATTAATTTAAATTTAAACGGCCACATGTGGCTAGTGAATACTGTATTGGACAATGCAGCTCTAGATCATCACTAGTATGATATGCTTGGAAAACAGTTTCTTCTTACAAAGTCTTAGAAGTGTATCTATTTATTAATAGGACCAATGGAATATCAAGGGCCACTACTGAGGAAAATTTTAATTTTCCATGTGGCCCTAAAACTGCTCTTACTCCCTGTGATGATCTAATACATGGGTCTGACAAAAGAATGAAATTGAACCCCCCAAAATATCAAGAGCTAACATTTGTATCCCAGCAACTGTGCTAAGCACTTTACAAACTCTATCTTATTTCGTCATCACAAGAACCCATTTCACCGGCGAAAATTGAAGCACAAAGGTCTTAACTAATTAGTGGGAGATTTTACAATGCATATGTGATGGAGCCACGTTTTGAAGTGAATGTAAAGCTGTGCTCCAGTACATTCAACTATCTCAGGCTCACCATGTACCAGAATGGAGCCACTAGCAGCTTTTCTGTTTCAGTCGACTTTTCTTCTAAATTGAACTGGAACTAACACTGGGATATCAAAATGATAAAAATGATAATCTTCTCAAATGCCTCCTTAACTTCATTATAGTTTATAATCAAGAGTTATAATTTTCTGTTTGAGCAAATACTGAGACATTTACCTGCCAGGTCAAGTGGAAATTGCAGCATGCTCCAGGTCCATATAACAAGGATGGCATAGACTAGGGCAGGACTATTCCTAGAATGCAGACAAAATTTTAAATTAGTAATAAAAATATGATCATTTTTAAAGAAATATTTTCTCTTTTTTCTCATATTTGAGTATACCCTAATAAACTTTTCAAGAGTTGTCAAAATATCTTGGTGATATACGAAATCCATGAAAAAAATCCATTCACGATTATAATGGAATAATGTAGAAGTAAAAAAAAACTCCGAGACTTAAAATCCAACTTTCACATGGGCCAACATCTGTGTAAATTATGGCCAAGCCTCTTTGTCCCATATTGTTGTTCTTAGTTTTACAAAATCATGGAAACATTATTGGAGATAGATGCTAGGGAAAATGTTAGACTTTGACGAAGAAATTCAGAGGGCTGATTTCAAGAATTTTCAAGGAGAAAAAATAAAATTTTTTTTCTAAGATCATGAGACTCTAAATTAAAAATATATCTCAAAAGGACTACATGATGCCCCCAAATTAAAAGTTCAGCATGTAAAAGAAAACTACCTTAAGTCAGGAGAAAAAGGTGGGAAGATAAATCCAATAATAAAAAAATTTACACCACTTACTAGGATGTAAGTCAAGGAATATGACAGTTTCATTCACTATTGTATTCCCAGTGCCTAGAACAGCAAATAGTAGACCCTCAACAATTATTTGTGGAAGGAATTATTGAATGTACAAAAGAAGGGCCATACTTGGCAAATATACAAATATACAAATGTCATCGACCTAGGAGAATGGTCTTGAAGACTGAAGTCAGAAAGAATAGATGTTATACAAATACAAAGGATATAAAAGAAATATCAAAGTTATTTTTTTAGCAAAAATACAAAGGAAGTTAGCAATTTGAGATCAGTGGTATAATAGCAGATTTTATTGCCAACTTCTCTGTCAAGAGGGATTTTCAGATTGGAAAGGGATAGAAAGGCATCAGGGAGGAGAAGTTGAAACCAAAATAAATGAGGTGGTTGTAAGGGATATCTTTAAATGCTTCAAGTATTGAGGTCCTGAAAAATTAGATCTCAAAAACTATGAGAGAAATAATAAATGATATTTCTAAGCCATCATTATCTTGGCAATTAGTGGCAGAGACAAGGGTGATGACAAAATAAATAAACAAAGTCTTAATTTTCAAAATGAAGCAGAAGTGTATCTTAAAGTACAAAAGGCACATTTACTATTAATCCCTAGTTAGGTTATATAAGTGATTATTTAGAAGATTTCCGAAAGCTCTTATAGAAGACAGTAATTACTAGGAATTAGCACAGGTTACTTGGGACAATTACACTCAGCATACTAAGATTTTTTTTTCTCTCTCTCTCCTCAATAGAGTTAGGATTACCAAGCAAGTAATGATATATAAATTAATATTAGACATTTGGGTTTAAATAAGGCTGGATGATTGGCCGGCGAATAGTGGTTCTCTTTTCCTCCCTGGCTGCTTGAAGCTTGGCCGCCATCATGAACGACACAGTAACTATATGGACTAGTTCATGACTAACCAACTACTTCAGCGGAAACAGGTGGTCATTGATGTTCTTCACCCCAGAAAGGCAACAGTACCTAAGACAAAAATTCGGGAAAAACTAGCCAAAATGTAAAAGACCACACCAGATGTCATATCTGTGTTTGGATTCAGAACCCATTTTGGTGGTGGCAAGACAACCAGTTTTGGCATGATTTATGATTCCTTGGATTATGCAAAGAAAAATGAACCCAAACACAGACTTGCAAGACATGGCCTGTATGAGAAGAAAAAGACATCAAGAAAACAGTGAAAGGAACACAAGAACAGAATGAAGAAAGTCAGGGGGACTGCAAATGCCAGTGTTGGTGCTGGCAAAAAGTGAGCTGGAGATTGGACAACAGAAGGAGTAAAGATGCTGCAGTGGCTTTATCTGTGGTGGTTGTGCAGACTTTTCATGAGAGGATCAATAAACTAAGAATGTTAATGTGAAAAAAAAAATAAAGCTGGTGAAAAAGCCTCCTGCAGTGTTCTTATTAACAAGATTAAGAAATGTTCTGGGTGTAAGCACAGTTAGGTGGATTCCTAACTGTGTAAATGACTCCCCAAAGGGAGCTCTCTAAGGGTTGCTGCAGGCTCTGCCCTTGATTCTATTCCACTTCACATTTCACCAATGACTTGGTTGCCACATTGATGGAAGGCTTCTCATATGCACATATGACATGGAGGTTGGATGGGAAAACATTACCCCGGAAGACACAATCAGGATCTCAAAAGATCTTGACAAGATGTAACTGGATAACCTAGAATAGGACAAAGAGGTATCATTTCATAGCAGCTGCCGTAAAAAAGGCTCAAGGATTTTCCCTTACTATTATCTAATTTTAAGTCCACAGTATGACATGGATTTATGATTTTCTAAAATCAAATGCAATCATAGGTCATTTCATAAGAAGTATAAAGTCTAGAATTTTAAGTAGAGATACCTAGGAAATGCAGTCTATAACTTTTTTCCATCTTTGCAGTATCTTACATAATAGATCTTCAGTAAATGCCTGAATTTTTAAATAATTTTACCTACAGTTTCTGAATTCATACTGTTTCAAGAAGTTTTCTAATGGTTTAATTATGATCACACTTAATCCTCATACCAATTTTACAAAATAGTTATACTTATCCCTATTTGACCAGTGAGGAAACTGAGGCATAGAGTTGTAGAAACTCTAGTTGTCCAAAGTAATGTGGTTGTAAATGTTGGAAGCAAAAGTCAGAACTAGATAGCTTGTTTCAGCATCCACCCTTTTAACCACAGTACTATACTATTTCCATAAAGGAAGCGGAAAGTTTTAGCCCTGCTGTATTCTGTAATATTCAGAATATATCAGAAATATTATGTACTGTGCTTAATGTTTTAGGAGGAAAATTTATAAAGTTTTTGGTCCAAAGGAGAGAGGCTAGGATAGAGATATCAGAGCCATGTTATATGTGGGATAGCTCAAGAAGTTTTATATATTTAAAAGGCTATCATGTGGAAAAGAAATTAAACTTCTTTCTTGTGACTTCAGAAGTCCAATTCAGAGTGAAAGAATTTTAATGGTACCTATAAGAACACAAATTTTATCACAATAGAGATAAGTACTCTCTAATAATATCAACTCAAAATGGAGTGAGTTGCCCTGGGGTTAGTATAGTCTCTATTAGTGAAAATTTTCAAAGAAAGTCTGGACAAAAACTTGTTGAGAAAATTCTAGAGAGGATTTTGCAACAGATGTAAAATAGATTATTAAATAGATGGCTAAGGGCGCCTGGGTGGCTCAGTTGGTTGGGCGACTGCTTTTGGCTCGGGTCATGATCCTGGAGTCTCAGGATCGAGTCCCGCATCGGGCTCCCTGCTCAGCAGGGAGTTTGCTTCTCCCTCTGACCCTTCCCCCTCTCATGTGCTCTCTCTCTCTCAAATAAATAAATAAATAAAATTTAAAAAAAATTTAAAAAATTAAAAAATTAATAAATAGATGGCTAATTTGAAGTTTCTTCTAATCCCAAACCTCAATAATTCTACCAAAAACTCATGTGCAATTCGTCTGCAAGGCAGCAGAAATCAGTGGTAAAGCATAAGGTCTGGTGGTAGGTTGCCGGAGTTCAAATACCAGGTCCAACCTTCACCAGAGAGCTAGGATGTGGGCCTCCAATCCCAGATTGATATTTACTGACTACATGAACATGAACAAGTAATTTCACATCTATATGCTTTAGTTTACCCCTATTCAATATGCGGATAACAATAATAATTTAATAGCTACTAGATTTTATATGATAATTATATTAAGTACATTATAAAAATATATTAAGCATATAAAGTTCTTAGAACAGCACTCAAAACAGACTAATTATGCAAATTAGGTGTTGTTTTTTATTACCATGTAACTTTGAGATTTTCTCAACTTCTCTTGCCTGCCACAGTTCAGCTTATAAAATGGTGATAATGATAGTATCTACTTCATAGTGTATTGTAAAGTCTAAATAACTTAGCACAACTAAAACCCTTATAACAGTACTTGGAGCACAACAAGAGATGAATAACCATTACCTGGTAGTAGTAGTGGCAGCCGCAGCAACAGTAATGGTAGCAGTGGTATTTTTACTATGTGAACATATTTCTTAAATACTTTGTGTTTTAATTCTATCATTATACAAAATAAGAATAAATAATAACAATCCCTAGCCCTAAGTAAGCCAGATTCTAACACTACAATAATGAACATATATCTTTTGCACATGCAAATATCTGAGCATGCACAAAACATAGGAAAATGTGAGTGTTGAGAAACATATGAGTAAATTTATCAAAAATAACTTTGAAAAAAAACGGCCAGAAAATTTTTGAAGCAGACAAATTTGTACTAAGTCAGATAGTAAAAGTTACTTGGGAAGGTTAAAAGGAAAGTAAATGAATCACTGAGCTTAAACGGCAATTACTCAAAATGTGAAGGAAATTTGGAGTGAATTTATCCAACATTATCTCCATTGTGAAACTGTCTCCCCTAATTGTCTCACCCCATTTTCTCATGTGTAATGTCTTCATAAATGTCAACTGAGAAGCATGTAAGCAGACAATGGACTCTATTCATAAAGAGACAAAAGATCTTGACAAATATAATTATATATGTGAGTATCATTTCTCTACTTGGAAAATTAGGAGGATAAAAGACTGAATTTGGTAGATCAGTGCACCAAATTTATTGGGTGTAAAGTAAAAATAAAGTCATACATTGCTAATTTGCTTAACTATTTCTTTTTGGACATGTAAATGTTCCTGTAGATAAGAGATAATCAGTGGATAGAATTCACCTCATTTTTGTTTATTTTTTAAAAGATTTATTTATTTATTTTAGGGAGAGAGTGTGTGTGAGTATGGGGAGAGGGGCAGAGGGAGAGGGAGAGAGAAACTCAAGCAGACTCCACACTGAGTTGCAGAGCCCTGAAATAGGACTCAATCTCACAACCCTGAAATCATGACCTGAGCTGAAACCAAGAGTTGGAAGTTTAA